CCATCCCCCTACATCCCCGAGCAACTGCAGAATAGTCCTACGTACATATAAGATACGTACCTAATTAAGATATTTTTATTCTTCATCCTTCAGAGAAAAAAAAAATCCCTGCAATCAATCTTATAAGCAGGGATCCGGGTTTTCCATTTCCCATGGAGTAAACCATGGATTTTACCTTTTACCGGAGGCAAACACGAATTTCTCATTTCACTGGAAAAACCTGCAGATTTTGCAGTTTTGCAACAAGCCCCCTGCAAGATGGCAGAGTTCCAGCCTGCAGGGGGCTGGGAGGAAGCAGAAGGAGGGTGGTCAGGCAATGGATGCCATGCACATGGCCCCAGGCAGCCTGGAGAGCAGCTCACTGAAAAGTGGGGGTCAGAACTAAGCCCCTGTAAGAAGGGAGGGAGGGAGGGTGTTGGGCAGGACTGGGACTGGGGCTGGGGCTGCTGCCCAGCCAGGCGGTGTGTGGGGCTTGGGGCCATGATGCGTAGTTGCAAGGCCCCAGTGGGGAGTGTGACGGGGGCTCCCTGCTGCAGTGTGCACTCCCAGGGGACAGGGGGGACTCGTGCAGCATGCCTTCTAAGCTGCATGGTGTGCGCGGCCGTGCAGGCATGCCTGCCAGCGTGGCATGAGCGTGCTTGCGCAGCCACGCACACCACACAGCTTAGAGGGAACACTGGACCTGTGCCCCACAGATCTGTGCGTGGGGCGGTAGCAGGGCAGACACAGGCTTAGGCTCCCCCCTGGTGCCCTACCCCGGGGCCTCTGCAGGCCAGCGGGCATGACCTGGTGCAACAGGGAACAGCAGAGCTGCAGAAGCTGCTTGTCGCTGCAAGACACAAGCAGGGCCAGGGGGCTGGGGGGTGGGGAGTGAGAGGCACAAACAGGGCCAGGGGGCTGTGGAGGGCCTTTAATTATAATCACAATTTGGGGGTTTAATCAGAGTAGTTGTGATTTTTTTATCAGGGAAAACCAGGATCCCTGCTTATGAGTTACACTTCTTGTTCCCGGTATTGTTTCAGAGCAAGGATTTATGGGGTGAAAATACAACACTGTGCGCAAGATCTGTACATGGGGAGAAAAAAATATTGGTACCTTCAGGGGATTGCTCCCTGTATTGCTTTCCTCTCTTCTTGGCTGTCTGTTTGACCTGGTAAAAAAAGGAAAATTTGCAACGGAGCCAGACACATCTAACAAACACTCTCAAATTACATATTTCATGCATAATTTCCAGGCCATAGACCACACACCTCTTCCCTATTCCCCAAGAGAAAGTGAAAACAACTCATAAACAACCTTAAATCCTCCTCTTACACATGTGAAACCAGTGATGAGAAAATGCATGGTCTTATCACTTCCCATTTCTTTCCAGCAGCAGCTGGGGGTCAAACAACCCATAAGACCAGCTATAAGGTGCAAGATCTCTCAGATATAAAGTTATTCCCATCAATATGACATGATTACCCAGAAACAGCAAACTGTCTCCAGGGAATGACTGGACTAAGACTGTATTGCTCCATCCAAGCAGTCATTATGCAGTTCTAGAGTATGGAATAGCTCATCAGCTTGCTATTTTGCTAAGGACTGAGACAACAGTGCCCTCTAACGGCCTAGGACATAAAATGGAGATGACTATTTTTTCCTGGCTCAAAAGATTTCCTTCTTTCTTTTTCAGTTACTCAAGTTCTCTCAGAAAGAAGAGCTGTCCATCCTGAACCGAATGAATATCTTGCTCACGATCAGGGGCCCCAATGCATTAAAGCACTTTCCCCACATCCCGTTAGGTTGCACACCTCAAGAGACACATGGTTTCTTCCCTCCTGAGCCCTCTTACTTCTCTGGGTTGTTTGGCCTGAAATTACTAACCTCTCCCTCTTGTGTCTGTTTCCTTTTTCCTCCATCTGTTCCTTTTCTTTTGCTGACAGTTTCTGAGGGCTTTTGTAATTTACTCTTGGATCTTGCTGCTCCCTCTCCAGCTGATTTTCTTGCCTTACTGGCAGGAGCAAGATGATGCTTCATGGCCTGTAACACAGTGGATAAAGCCGAAAAAAACCACCAGAGATTATAATGTGCAAACCGCACGCCGTTCAGTAACAGGCGGGTATGTTCTATGTTGAGTACAGCATAAACGTTTCTCTAAATGCAGCCATTCTTTGACAACTACCTGGAAGTACTGTCCTCTGGAGAAGTTACTGAATACTCTGCAACTACTTTTAAATCCCTAAATCCACCAGCTAACATTTCTATCGGACAGAGAATCAGAAAACACTAACAACATCATCCATGATCTCACCAGCATGTTAGGGGGATGGTATTCTTAATTCATGACACCACTTCCCACAGCAGTGACTGCTGCAATGAGGGAAGTGAGGTTACTATTCTGATATATGGCATAGTGTCAATCGTGACATTTGTTTACTCATTAGATTTACTATATTCTCTCACATACAACACCCCCCAAAATACGTGCCTTGTTTGTGAAAGGCAAAAATGAAAAAATATTTTTTTCTAGGGTTATACCTGAACAGAGCAGGGACGGAGCCTAATCTTCAGCTGACTCAACCTCCCTTTCTTGCTTAACTAAAGCTGAAATGCTAGCTGCTGCTGAAGACCAATCTCTATTGATTTATCTATGATTCTGAAAAGAGCTAGCCTCCAAGACTGTGACATATGGGAAGAGAGACAAGGGCAACTACCAGACAGCAAAACTGCCTTAAGAAATGTTAGCTCAATTGGAGGAACCTCAAGACCATTGAAAAGGAGAGAGTATTATTAACACCTTTGGAGCAAAGAAGACGACATTAAGGCAATGGACTT